CATGAGAGAAGATTAAGTCACTATGATGCAGCCATCTGCTTCCTACACATACATTAACAATAATCTGATCGTAGCAAATCTTAATATTGAGAAAGTAAAAGTAGAAGCGTGTAACTCAATCGAGCAGCCAGATTAGATAATCTAGAAAAAGGATAGAATTTGAAAAAAAATGCAAGGAGGGTAAACGATGGATAACGTGACACTTGGTAACTAGAAAGGCCAAAAGGGAAGAGAGAAAAAATAAAGGAATCACAAGTTCCCAAATTCATGAATCAAAGGAGGGGGGAAAATTCAGTGCATGCATTCACGCAAATAAAAACAAACAAAAGGATTAAGTAAGTATTTGTATTATTATATAGTTATTAAATGAGATCTCCCATTTCCTTCAAAGGAAGAAGATGACAAGTTCGTTTGCATCTCATCTCACGTAGAGTAGAGCCTCAAATTCAAGGTTGTCAACTCGCGGGTTGACCCGGACCCGGTCGAGCTAGTGGGTCAAGGGTTAATGGGTCGACCGTTTTAGCCCGGTTTGGCCCGGAAATATGGAAAGAGTCACTATATTGTACTTATCCTCATAAATTATATCAAATCTTATCTAACATATGAGTTATAACATATAATATTACACCAAAATAACATATCGTACTTAGATCCAACAGATAGTGAAAATTCACACACACTTATATAACATAAATATTCAAATGTTCAACTTAGGATTTCAAAAATTGAGTTAGGCGAAAAGAAAAATCGGAAAATAGGCGCATTTCGCAAATCAAAGAAAAAAATAAAACAATTTGACCTCCAACACGGTACCTTGTAGCGGTCGACCCGGCGGGTGCGTGCGGCCCGTTTTTCTCATCGGGTCAGAGTCAAATTGGGTCGACCCGCGGGTCAACCCGCGGGTTGACAACCTTGCTCAAATTAAATAACACGACTTCCCTTTCTCTCTTTCCTTCTTCCTTACCTTGTTTTCTGATGTAACAAATCAATTGATCCAACTCTTTGTGCGCATCATGTGAACGTGCTGACTGACCCATCACACCATGATTCTTAGGGAACTATGTGTCCTTTTTTCTTGACACGTTGTTATAGACAAAAACAAAACGAATTTATCGTTATCTCTATAATCCTCCTAGTTTGAAGTTCGTATAGCCAGACAAGCTATGTATTTCAGTCGTCGGTGGGCGGGGATCAGAACGGGAGCGCTTGTGAATGGTCCTGGGTGAGAGGGTGTAGGGGCAAAAATTGTCTAACAAATCGCCTTCCTTTGGTCGGACATACTTTCTTCGAGGTCATTAATGAGTACTATTACTTCTTGTGTTGTGTACCTTGTGAAAAGAGAGGAGCTAGGAGGCGTCTAACCCTAGCTAACTAACCTTCAACGCCAACCAAAAACATGGAGATGGGTTGGAATTCGATCATATCAATCCTCTCATTGTTCTGGCGACCTCCTCCACTACCTAGCCCCACAAATCAACTACCTTTTTCTTTTATCAAATGCATCAACCATCACTCTCTTAGTTCATAGAAAAAAAAAGAAACAACCCTTTTCAATTATCTAGAAGGCGGACAAGATACATATTTCTTATATGATTTGTTGGGAAAACAAACATACAACCACGTATTTGGAGTTAGTTTCCGCGTATACTTTTGCGAAAGACTATTACAGGTTAAAACGAAAGAGTTATGAGAGTGACCGAAATATTTAGAATTCTACCCAAGGAATGACATTAATTAACATGATGAGCAAGGGACTCATCAAATCAAAGCATGCCTCTTAGGGGTGGCTATACGGTCCGGTCCGGTTAAATTGGCCCAAATTGATCCGGTCCAGTCCGGGTTTTTTGAAAATATAAGGACCGAAGATTGGATTGGATACAGTCCGGTCTTGATCCGGTCCGGTCTTGACCCGGTCCGGTCTTGACCCGGTCCGGTCCCAATTCGGTCTTGATTTTATATTGAGATTGTGAGAATTTTAGTGGCCTAAGGCCTAAAAGGGTGAGGAGTTGGTTAAGTTTTGTACTAAGTGCAAAGGTTTGTGACCCTTTATGCAAATTACCCTTAAGTTTTGGGTGTTGAGCTCTCTTATCCGGTCTTTATCCGATTTTTTACCTCAAATCTAAGCCCAAAGATTGGATTGGATTGTTTACTATCCGGTCCCGGTCCGGGTTATACGGTCCGGTTTCCGGTTTTTCATCCGGCCCGGTCCAAATAGCCAGCCCTAATGCCTCTTGTGAATGAATCAAAGCGTTTTGATCTTTCACCATTTGAGGGTTGACGGTTCCTTTGTTTAAGGGACCACACTGACCTACGGGAAGGTCACTCGTCCCCCACAGTTTCCTCTTTGTTTCGTCCCATCCAAATCCAAACGCCATTCATATACGCCAAGAGAGTTTCCGAGTTTCAAGTTTTTCTGACCTTACAACAATTAGGGCTGCCTGCATGGATGGATGCCCTGCCCTCCCTGCTATTGACTTTATAACGGGCCTGACACGTGCTCGTCACGTGTACAACGGGAAGAGCATCTTCAGTTACACCGTAACTTCAGGTTTTTTTTCTCCTTCCGGTGTTAATATCTCCTCCTTTTCTCTTTAATAAATAATAACAAACTTAAGATATTAAAGTTTCGTGTTGGATTCGGGATACAATTAACAATAAAGAGTGAGTAATTTTGTATGGATTATATTCACGGTACATAGTTGAATCAGTAAAATAAGTTGTTACGTTGGCCGAGTGGTTCAAAGCGTAGCATTGGAACTGCTATGTAGGTTTTTGTTTACCGAGGATATTTATAATGAATATTAGGTATGAGAATCTGATTATTCTGAATATTGTTAAGTCATTCATAGATAAAAACAACCATCCAACTGGGTTTCTTGCGCATATGCTCATAAGTTTGCATATGATTAACGATAATAGAATTGCCACCATTAATTAACCCTAATAACCATTTGAGATCAAATCATCATCTCCGTAAATAACAAATGGAAGGCCTTTTTGACTACTTGATTAAGGGAGGGTGGAGGGCCGGGCAAAGCAATACAAAACACAAAACATAATTAGGAATAGTAATAATAATATCAAAGAAATAACATCATCAAAAGTAATTAAAATCCTTTCAATCAATGTAAATTAATCACCCTTAGTCAATGAATCTACAGTCTTACCGTGGCCATGAAAAAAAAGGATCGTCAAAAAGGGCAATAATGAAGCGCGCATGAAACAGAGTCTGATGGCAGCAGCAGACACCAACCCACCACCCATGAGTTACATCTGTGTGTTTTAATTAAATTGGACAGTGAGAGGCCCCTCCTCCCTTTGTCAGCAAAACACCAACCCCATAATTCCACCATTTTTTTTTTTTTTTGCCAATTCTGGGCAGGTAAATTAAATTATATAATCCATTTTCTTTCCTTTTTAAAAATAATTTTAATTGAATAATTGGGTCGAAGGAAGAAATCAATTGTGGTAGGCAATTGTATATTTATGGTGGCTTCTGTTTCTTATATAGTAGTCAGTACCCACTATAGAGAGACAGCGACGTAAGAGGAGAGGAAAAGGAAGCTAACATTAACCCTAACCTAGCTACGACGCAGCCTCCTTCACTAGTCACAAAAACCATCATTATTGTAATTCTAATCGAGAACGAAATCCAAGATCATTACTAGGCCAATACGTTCTTATGTTGCCGTTGAGTAATTTTCCTTGTTCCAATTCCATTCGATTTGGTTGTATAATCCTGATAATTCTGTATAGTACTTTTAAACGATAATCTTTATACCGCGATTCATCATGTCTGAAACCAACCACAACATATATATACTTAACTCACCCCCACATCACTCTCGACCCACCACCATCCTATCCTCCCACTCTCCGTTGAAGATATCTACAATGTCGTCATCGCATCACCATCCTCGATGGGAGAAAAAAACCAAACACCCCCATTACCATATTCGAAAACGGAAGGAGCGTTGCTTCACAAGAGAATAGAACCAAAGAAAAAAACCATGAGAGAGGAAAAGGAAAAATGACGACAACGACGTCGTGCTCGCTAGCCTTTGGTTGGAAGAATAAAGCCAAAGCATGATGCACAAGATACGCTGGTGGACACAGGAAAAACAGCCTAAGCAAACGCAAAATCAACGCAACGGGCAAGCAGAGGGTGTCAGTCAGGCAGGCAGGCAAAGCAGAGCTGTGCTTCTTGTTTGGCCTTTTGGCACCTTTTCTTTGCCTGTTTTGCGGGGCTCCTTCCAACCACCCATCACCCCCTCCTCTGTCCTTTTCCCCCTCTCTCTCCCTCATTCACGTAAATTAACCATCCTCGAGTTAGTCTCGAATCTTCGAATGTATCGAAACTCGACATTTACTCCTCCATCGTATTCGTATTTGCATTCGATCGAGTAATTCGTTTAAAATCTCGTAGTTCAGGCAACGATCTTGAATTCGTCACACGACTTAATACGAAATAGGACTATATGTAACGAAACTCTATTCAATCAAAGACTGTTTGTGTTACGGTTTCCCATGTTAAAAAGCAAACAGTAATTTGCGCACGGGAGAGAGAGAGAGAGGGAAAAAAATAGTGGTGGTCGTCAGTCTTCTCCAATCGGTTATATTTTTCTTTTGGCGCCACTTACTGAGCTAACTGCAGAACAACAGCGACATTTGCGCGCGTCCTACGTGTCAGCTTTTGCCTCACACCTGTCCCTTTCCCCACACACACACCACCTTCTCGTTGACTCCACGCGAGCGTACTCCCCACGCTCCACCTCCCGCGCTGTTCCCTCTTCTGTTCGGTCCATCTGTCGGTTAGATGCCTGGGGCCCACTCACTTCACGCCCGTACCTGTACCCCCCTTCCTTTCCGGGGCCCACGTCCTTTGTTTTCTTTTTTCCCTCTTACGTACGTTCCCTCGAAAATCAGAGGGTATTTATCCAAAATGGCCACTCTACTTTCACTCACTAACAAATCAGCTCCTAAACTCTAACAAGGGAGGATAAATCGTATCGTATCATCAAAAAATTAACAGATATATTTCCAGTAAAAAAGAAAAGGTTAGATTAATATCTAAGCAGGCGAGAAATAGATGAGATGAAGGAGAAATAATAGATGGAATAAACAATTTTTTCTTTCTAGAATTCGCCTGAATTTCTTATCTCTTTTGAACTGTTTCTTTTTTTTTTGGGGTCTTTTTTGTCCGCCGGAGCTTCGCCGGCGGCGGAGAGGCTATCTCTCACGACATGTTAACATGGAAGCTGGCGTTCTTGGTGGATTTACAGATGGGGCAAGAATGGAGGCTGGACTCACAGGCACTGCACAAGCACAAATGCCGGCACGGCAAGAGCAACACGCACGACTCTGCCTTCCCGCAATTCCGGCACATCCTGCTGCTGCTGCTGTTACTGCTCTCCGGCGCCTCGTCCTCGTTCTCCCTCCGGCCGACGAACCGGTTTTCGAAGCAATCGTCGTTGCTGCCGCAGCAGGACTGGGCGTCGTCCATCAGCGCCGCGGCGTCTTCCATCGACTGGTGGTGGTACCGCTGCTGGTCTTCTTTCACGGCGAGGACTTGTTCGAGATTGGAACGGAGGGCGTTGGCCGTGGCCTCGTTGCTCTGCGCCAAATCTCGCCAGATTTGGTTCTCGATGCAGAGCGACTTCACTTTCTCTTCCAGCGCCCAATTCAATTTCCCGATCTTGTCGATCTCGTCTTCTTTGGCCCTGAGCCGCTTCAGCATTCCTTCCTCGATTACTTGGATGATCCTCCTCGCTTGCCTCTTCCTCTTGTCTTCAAATTCCGCCCTCACTTTCTCCATCTGTTTCAACCAAAAAAAATTTCACACAATCAGTCACCAATTAATTCAATCGAGAAGGAAAAAAAAAAAATCTAATCGAGCCGACAGACTCTGTTACTCCGGCAAGAACTTACATGGTGAGAAATCAAGCGGTCGACGTCGAGTTGCTGCTGCTGGATCTGGAGGGAGAAATCGTGGCCGAGAAACGAGAACGGAGCAACGCCGGTGGCTTTGTTATTGTTGTTCGACTGAAGAGGCGTTTGATACGACGAGAACAGAGGATTTCCGTTTCCGTTCATACAATCCCTCGGCCGCTTCCTCGAGGCCGGAATCTGACTGATGTTGTTGTTGTTGAACGTCGACAGGCCACTGACCTCCGACTTGATCGCCGTCGCCATCTTCTGCTGCTGCTGGTAAGGAAGAAGGAAATTATTATTCGAGTCGGCCATCACCGAGCTGTACATCGGAAGCAGAGCATCCGTCGTCGTCGCTGTGGTGGTGCCGGACAACGGCACGCCGAACCCGACCTGGCTGGCGTACAGGTTATTATTCACCTCGATCGAATTCATTATCTCCCTGCCGGAACAAAAACAGACAAATTCAGGACCCAAATCCACACCGGAGAGGAAGAAGGAAAAAAAAAAAAAAAGAAATCAAGATCCCCGAAAACGGGAACACTCGCCGTCGCCGGTCGACGGCGGCAAGAAATAGGAGGCGGGTAGTTACCGGCTGGTGCCGAGGAGCTGGGGAGGGAAGAGATTGAGATGCCTGGCCTCGACCGCCATTACAGAGAGAAGAAGAAGAAGGAGAGCGCGGTGGAGATTAGAGATACGGAGAGAGGGAGAGAATCAATGGGAGTTGAGCAGTTGCGGCATGCAAAATCGGTGAAGGGGGGAACTGATGAATGGCAATGGTGGTGGGAGAGAAGAGAGGAGAGGTTTATGAATGGTTTGGTGGTAGAGAGAGAAACAGAGTAGTGAGAGAGAGCATTGGGAAGGAAAGGGGAATGGCGAACGGAGAAATATATTTGTAGCTGTCGACGAGAAAGAAAAGCAAAGATAAAGATGAGAGAGAGAGAGAGAGAGAAGGGATTTGTTTTTTCTTGGTTAAGGATCTCTTTGTCTATTTTGGGATTCGGTTACCTGAAGGGAAAAGAAAACGAGAAAATTCAATTAAAATTAAATACTGAATAGAATAGGAAGAAGTGTTATTAAATTATTATTAACGTAATAAATTGGGGTGTGATTAATTAAAGGAAGAAAGAAAGGTTCGTTGGTTCATAACACCAATATGGGGGTGTGATTAATTTAATTAAGCAATTAATTAATTGGAGGATTTGCTACCTCTCCTCCTAATCCTGCCTGCTTGACTCCTATTGCACAACCAAGCGCAGAGCTGCCGGTAATTCGGCAGAAACCCCCGGGTAGTTTCGTAATCTTGGGTTGCCGTTCTTTATGGTAATTCCGTTCGGGTCGGTCTTCTTTCCCATTTGTTTTAACCCTCTCCTTCTATTCCGAACTTACTCATTTTTATCCTTCTTGGTACTTATTTGATTGATAACTGCAACGTGTATTGTTGAGCTGATCGTACGTGAATTCGAAATCAATGAGATGAACAATTTAAAAGCCTTCTATTCCGAACTTACTCATTTTTATCCTTCTTGGTACTTATTTGATTGATAACTGCAACGTGTATTGTTGAGCTGATCGTACGTGAATTCGAAATCAATGAGATGAACAATTTAAAAGCTTTGTTTTCAATTTATAGAAGGAAGCGTGAATCCGAAAACACTACTTCGATAGTTATTCTGAAGTTTATTGTAATTAGTATACGGTGTATTAGTACTGTCACGTGTACTTAAATGAGAACTACATATGTTACGGAAACATATAACGGCATGAATCGTGCTATATCTAATCATGATATGTACGACTTAGTAGTAATTTACGATGTCAGTTCGCTTGATAGATTTTTTTTATATGAAGCCTACACTTTAATGGTTATTTACTTTTGCGATAGATATCTCGGAAGAGTAACAAGGATATGAATGTTACCATAACACGAATGAACTTATGGTAAACAACATTACTTGTTTTTTTTCCCATTTCTTTTTTCTCTCCTTGTTCCCCTTTATTCTTCACCGGCCTTTTTATCTTGCTGCTATTGGGCCAGCTAATAAGAACGCATCTCCAATTTGCATTCGAAAGATCTATTCTATCGTTTTTGCCATCTACAACTAACTTAGCTAGCTAGGAGTCGATTCATTCACATTGTTCCTTTTATTGTAAAATTCACCTATATAAATGTTGGTTGCCTTCGTTGTGGAGTGAGTTTCGGCGAAATATCGCACAAGGAATCTCCAAGTATATATGTTCAACTGTTATTAGCCAACTTTGTTAGGTTTACACGGGGAAGAAGCTTTGCTTAATTATGTTGTGTCTTTTTCTCTTAGGGTTGGGTTTTGACCTTAAAAATAGCATATATAACATCTCGTCATCATCTCTTCCTCTTTCTAGGGTTTGACCATAACTATAGTGATTGAACCCATCTTCTCGAATGATCCTCGTGATCCGGTCGTTAACGGGTTGATTTTCACAACAATTTATGTTTTGGTGTGATTTATGAATGATGTGGTTGCAAAAATAGAGTAGGAATCGAGTATTTTTTATGTGATAAAGAAGAAGGTTAATTATACTGGGTCATGACGAGTCTCGTGTCGAAGCGTCTACTTCGGCCCAGAGCATACCTCAAGTGAGTCAGGTCAATATTAACGTAGAGAGCAACATGGCCATGTACTCTTCGCCCTTTGTGTCCGTGTAGGACTAGGAAGCAGTCTAGTTCATGAATGTAAATTCCTAGTTGATGAGTTTCAGGGTACGCAGAAATATTGGTGTAAGATCGATTGGCCATGTAACATAATAAGAGAAACACCTTTCAAGTGGACGTAGGTTCACCCTTGAACCATGTTAAACAGAGCGTCAATCTACTTTCGACAGCAACAAGAGAAAGGCCAGCCACATTCGTTGAGAGCATTTAAGCGGTTAAGATCACAATACATGAACCTCTTCCAACAACTCAGGTTATCGAGACAAGTTGTTTTTATGAAAGATGCGATTTGCACGAATCGTGTAACAAGACTACTACTTCGCACCTCGTGTATGGAGATGTAGACGCCGTCATACTGAACCAAGTGAATCATTTTGTATCTTATGACGAGTTTATGTAGTATTCTCGTCATTTACGCATGGTATGTGTCGATAATAATTTGTGGATACATATCACAACTACTAATTATTAGAACAAAGACTAATCACGTTGCCTAATCAAAATTCAAACCGTGTGCATAACATATAATTGACGGTTTTCTTGCAATATATACAGTAACCATTTCCACGCATTTCAGGAAATATTCATAGGGTGATGAATGGATCTGAATATATGTAGTCAGCACCATTGTTAATCGTGGCCGCCGAGCTATGCTGGTCAAGTGGTCATGGAAGGCTCTATCTATAGCTTATGGCCCTATTTTCTTGCCATTTTTTTTCCTTCTTCGGGCTGAATGTTTATTAAGCTGCCATTTGAATTCAACAGGAACTGAAATTGACACCCTTTTCTATAACAGAATAATTTGACCAAAATCTCTACCAACTTGGGCTTTCAAATCTCTTGGCTGCCTTCAAGCACGTCTGTGATCTCTGTACGGCAATATATTTGGTTGGGGGAGAGGAAGACGGAGAGAGATCGTTGAACACAGGAATGCTAGGCATGATTTCTTGTTTGATTAATCAATAGATCGAACTCCTAGAAACATAAATGAATATTCATTCAATAATCAAGGTTTTTTATCTGCCTTCGTAGCAACAACGACTAGTTCGGGTGCGATCATACCAGCTCTCATAAGCAAAACAACAACGAACTAATTCCTATATCTAAATTTCTCTTCAGTAAAAGTTATTTCATATATGAAAATAGACCGAGATAGAACGTTTTAGTAATGATTAATAGACAAAGTGAGCATCAACATGTTGAACCGAAAATAATTAACCCTATCAAGCTATCTCGTTCTTAAGTTGTAACTCGATACCCACCCTAACACGTGTGTACTAGAGGGCTAAAGCCGGTCAAGCTCTACTACATGTTATGATTATAATTAGTGGTGTTGTACACGGGGTAGTTTGATGCGGATAACAACCAACTCCATAGACAGAGCAAAAAATAATTAGTGGCCGAACAACGTAACACGTAACTCATTTTCTTCGTCCTATATTAGGAGTTACAAAACCACCAGGATGCAAGAGAAAAGTAATATGGGCCTGGCTACAATATTCTAGCTCATAACCTCATTGTTATTTCAAAAATTCAATTTTTTGACAATAATTCGAATTGTCACAAAAAAGTCCAAGAATAAAACTTACATCACTGTCATTAGAACAACAACCACGCAGTTTGTGATTAAGAGATCATCAATATGTTTGATTAATTGCTTACTGTTTTTTTCTTTGTCCCCATTGTACACTTTGAGAGGAACTTTCCTTGCTCTCCTCGCCATGTTCAATCAAGTTGGAAGAAGAAGAAACCAATTAAAACCCCTCCATTGGAATCGTCTCTACAGTAACATATTATTCCATAGCTTTTTTGGACTCATCAACTCAATCTAGAGGGCTTTGGTTTGCCTTGTTTGTCAAGGCTAAAACAACAATCTTCAACACAAGACGCTGTTTTTTTTTCTCCTTCCATCATGGGGCCTGCCAATTGAAACAGGCTACAAACAGCACGTTTTATTTTATTCACACATAAAAACAAGGCAATTGATTAATTCTTGATTAGTGCACTCAAATTGGATTATTAGGTAACCACTGGATTAATCCAAAGTCTTTCCCTATTATATATATGAAATTTTAATTCTGTTTGAGATTTCAACGAAGCACATTCATTTATGTGCTCAATTAGGCTGTTATTGTTTTGTCCTCTTTTTCATCTTTACTTTGAAAAGGAACACACACACAAAAAAAATTGATTTCTAGAAATTTGCCTAATTTTTCTCCTCATTTCCTTTCACATATACTTTGCCCCCTCATCTTGTAATGCATTCAAATTCATATATAGGGGTTTCAACCACTTATAGTCCCAAAAAGAAGGGGAAATCTTGTGGGATTCAAGTTTTTTAATAGATATTATTATCTCTAGTACATCTTTTAAACATAAGTTAGAGGTTTGATCCTTATCTCGCATTAGAATAGTCTACTATAAGATTAAAATCAATCGATATTTAGTGTGGCATGTAGTATATGTGTTATAGTTGCTCTAAAATAACAGGTTTGACAAATATCACATCAAACGACCTATAAGTTTTATACTTTAGATTGATGTTTAAAGAGCTGACGAATTAATCAAACACCTCAACTTTCTATTGCGAGATCAAACCAATCAAACAACGCATATCCGTTCATACATCAAGGGACTATGAGTAGCAATATTGCAATATAATCTTTCTAACCTCTTCACTATCAAGTTTAACCATAAGTTGTAAGTTTCAGCCTAACATTCCAAAAAAATAACAAATACGGTCAAACTATATGACTCATATATATGGTGACCTAGAACCAACATCATCTTCCAACAAAAAATACAAAAACCCTTCATAAAAAAAAAAAACAATAGTCCAAATCTCTAATTGTCACCATTATTTCTTCCTTCCACGTTGCCCCCATCGATCGATGGTCCCAATTTATATTGCTGTGGTAAATGACATCCAAAGAGATCCTAAAACAATGAGCTTATTTTATTTCTGTCTACAAATACATTTTCCTACCAAATTCGGCAATTATACAAACTTCCAAATAAAATCGACATGGCATGGACAAGTCATATATCTCATATTTTAATTTTCTAGTTACGGGTTTTCATTGACCATTCATCTCCTGAATTATCATCAATACAACATTATTAATCTTAATTAAATCGAAATATTATTATTATTATTATTGTTCCCCCCTGTTGTGATCGGCGTCGACAAAATTGAAAGAGTGAAACCGATCGATCCATTTTGGACGACATTGTTAACAAAGCCAGCCATTACTAGCCGTCCAAGCTGGAATAATTAACTAAAAAA